AGGAAATAACTCTCCCACAAATTCACTACCCAAATCATTAATTCGGGGAGCTAAGAGAAGGGAATCAAATATCTGAAAGTGCGAATAACAACTTCTATAAGCACCTGAATATAAAGTAAAGGTGCATCTGAGATTCAAAACAATTTCTTCTGGTTTTACAAGAAAATAATCTCTAAAGAGATGCCTTTTTTTCTTCCCCTTAATGAGATGGTTATAATATTCACATCAAGAAAGGAAAATGAAGTTGATGAGGTGTCATTCTTAAAACATCCCGACATACAAAGGCAGAGCAGATAAGCATACACTGTTTGGTAAACTTGCCTCTCTTTGGGATCATTCCTATATGCTTAAGCAGCAACTTTGCTTTCTTTCTTCGTACTTCCCATAGAATAACAATTCTCACCCCAAAAACATGAACAAGACACTAATGCAAGCATCAATAGGCCAAACATACACCACACTGCAAGGCCAACAAAACAAGAAACTTCCACCTAACATTTGAAAACCCAATATAGATCACAGAAACTTATTGAGCATCTCCGAAACTGACTCATCCAATCCACTATCATTTGATAAATTCAATAATAGGGCCATAGTACATGCATCAGCATAGAATCCTTTCTCAACCATTTCTTAAATAAGTTGTATTGCCCTTAGCATCTCATTGTTTCGAAGAAATCCCTGGACAATTATATTGTAAGTTAAAGCATCCGGCGAGCAATCACTCTCTTCCATTTTCTTAAGCAACATGTTTGCTTCGCTTAACAAACCTTCCTTGCAGAACCCATTGATCATAATGTTGTATGTGCGAACAACAGGTCGCAACCTTTTGGAAGAAAGACTACAAAAGAGTTCCCTTGCAGCTTTAATGTTTCCAGCTCTGCACATACCATCAATGAGGATGTTGTAAGCCACAATATTAACATGCAGTCCACTTTCTTCCATCTCTCGAAACAAGGCCATTGCCTCGGCAAGACATTGGTTCTTACACAGTCCATCTAATAAAGTACAGTAGGTCACAATATTAGGATGTTGGCCATGGGCTCGCATCTCATTCAGAAGTTGTTGCGCAACTAGAAGTTTTCCCACATTGCAGAAACCACCTATAAGAGTGGTGTAAGTAACAGTATCAGGAACCAATCCTATCTGAGAAATTTCATGAAAAAGGCTTAGAGCCTCAGCCATTCTTTGCTTCTTACAATATCCATTAATCAGGATGTTATAGCTCTGAACATCAGATGCACAACCTTTACGAACCATCAAATCAAGTATCTTCTTTGCCTCATCAAATTTGCTTTGCAAACAATATCCGTCCATCAGTGCATTGTAAGTGACTGTATTAGGCTCCTCGCCCCTTCGAATCATCACTTCAATTATTTCTACTGCTTCTGCAACCTTCCCTTCCTTACAAAGTGCATCCACCAAAATGTTGAAGGTTCTTACATTCGGTTTGATATTTCGGCTCACCATTTCATTCGACAACCTTGTAGCCTCTTTCCACTGGTTTGAATTGCATAGGCCGTGGATTAAGGAGTTGTAAGTGACAACCGTCGGTGAAATTCCTTTACGGATCATTTCTGAAAAGAGTTGGAAAGCCTCAGCTACCAGTCTGTCCTCACAAAGACTGTCAATGATCATGCTATAAACAAAGACATTGGTTTCCCAATTTCTCTCTTCCATCTTCTTAACCAATTCAATAGCTGCGCTGGTGGTCCCTGTTTTGCACAACCCATCTATAATGGTTCCACAAGTAACTTTATCAGGTCGAAATCCTTTTGCCCCCATGTCATTAAACAACTCTACTGCCAGACCTATTTTATCCTCGCTACAGAGTCCCCTCATCAAAGTGTTGAGCATTATACAATCCACTTCATAACCAAGCTTCAAAGTTCTCCCCAGAACAGAGAAACCCAAATCGACCCGATTCACATGGCAGTAGCAATTCATCCGCCAGAGTATAAGCGTCTGGCTCTACCATTCCAGAGGATTCCATTTGATTAAGTAAAGAAATTGCAGTGGTGTAATGTTTCATTCTCACAATGGCCCCTAACAATTTAGTAAAATCCACAATTGAAGGAAGAGATCGCATTTGAGACATTTTATCAAACACTGCCAGTGCATCATTAAGGTTAGTGAACTCAAACCTGCATTGGTTTCTGACAGACTGGGTTTGAGTACTCGGACAGTGAGGCTTTTGATCTTTAACAGTTAGGGAATGAAACGAAGCCCTTAAATTGTCACTAGCAAATGGATAATCCATGACGAAATTAACACAATGCTTAAGAGAAGTTGCAGATATACGGATACCTTTCTGAAGAGAGAGAGCGCCGCCATATCTACACTTGGAAGAGGCAATAACACTTCTTTTAATCATCTTTCAGATCCTCTCTCTCTCTCTATACGTACACACACAGTCACACACTTATATGTCTGTTGTATATATATATAAAGTGAAACAAAGTCACCTGAAACTGGTTGGCTATTTTTATTCTTCGGACATCTTTCAGCATCTAGGATTTCATTTCCAATTATTAATAGTATTAGCTTATTTCACAAGTGAGGGTGGGGACCACTCTAGACTATAGTTTATTTTTATGTGTTTATAGAAGAAACACATAAAAGTGGTTTTATTTTAAAAATTATGCTTTTAGCGCGTTTAGTAACTAAAAACACACTTTTAAAAATGTTATCAAACTAAAATTTCTAACTTTTGAAACTGGTTTTATATTTTTGGGAATTGTTTATTCTTACAAAATTTCATTCTTTTGATTTTTAATAAAGAGAAGGATGTAATGTGTTCTATGACTAGTGTTTTGGAAAATCAAAATGTTAAGCAGTTCTATTGGTCATGTTTTACAAAACATCCAGAATTTAGCAAGCAACTTCTTTTTAGGTTTCACAAAGCATGTCCATTTGGCACCCCCTTTTTTTTTTTTTTTTTTTTTGAGGTATAAAACTGAACCAAGCAGAATTTTTCATATAGTTTTCTGTTTTCAATTTTCTAAAAATAAAATACTATTATCCGAATTACAAACTAAGCATGCCCAAAATAGTTTCAAAATTAATAAATCTTGGGCTTGACCTTGAATAAGAGCTACCCTTATTAGCCACTTTGAGTTGTATCTTCTTCACAAGGATAAAAAAAAAACATTGATTTGAAACCATGGACGAACCTAAGCCCAATGTGCTCCATGGAAACGTCCTCCCCATTGAAATAGGTCTAAGAAGTACTTTATTTTTTAATTATTTTTTACAAGAAATTAACACACCAATTTTGTTTAGCTTAAAATTGAACTTTAAAACTTAAATATATATATATTTTTTTTATAAAAACATCTCGTGAAGTTTATCCAATTATAGAAGGAGAAATTGTTTGAAATACCTAAAAAGTCTACACTCAACAATGCTGTTAAAATTTGGTACGAACCGTCAATTTTACCCTTAATTTTATACTAATGCTTATTTAATAAAAAAAAAAAAATCTCAAAACTAAATGACTAAAACACCCAATTCCATTATTATTACTACAGAGTATTTACTTTTCTTCTTTTATTGAAAAAATAAATAACCTTTCACAAAATTCTATATGTATCTATGAGATTAATTGAGCATGGAATTTTGTTAACTCACTTTAAATTGAGTATCCATTTCCTTCTTTGTCCTGCTAGAATTGGACATATCCATACGATTGAGTCATTAGTTTTCGAAGTAGTGTCAAAAGAAGTGCTTCAAATCATTACTATTTGAACCAAACATGTTATAAAAAGGTCTAAGTGTTTCGAATTGTTTGTTGACATGGACAAAGTCCAGAAAAACCTCTTAAATTATTTCAATATTAGACCTTGGACACATCATAATTCCAAATCAAATATCTCTAGAAAGAGGAGATCTTTTGTCTCATGGTAACCTGCTACAGTCCCTTTACGAAAATTTCGTTACCGAATTAGCCATACGCTTCACATGTTTCTAGTGATTTACATGGCATCATTAAATGATACAAGTCTTGGATAAGAATCTGCAACGCACTAAAACGCCATTGTTGACGATCTGTACTCTATGAATTTTTTTTTTTTTTTTTTTTGTATTAAGGGAATCTTTCTGCTGTTCTTCAGCTTCATTTGAATACTTTTTAATTTCACTTTGAAGTGAGTCTACTGACATTTGATGATTCTCCAATGCAGACTATAAATTAAAGATTTGGCAATAGTTGTTTGAAGTGCCTGATCTCAAATTTGGCCATGTATTAGTATGCATTAGAGCAAGTGCTAAAACATACATGTTATCTCCAATAATTTGAACTTCAGCACCCTGACCTAGTAATAACAGTATACCACCAAGTGTTCTCTTTTCTAGTTTCTAGCAATAAATAAAAAATAAAAAAATTCCGCTGTACGTACAATAAAAATTGATAGAAATCATCTCAACCGAGAGCATCTATACAATGAAAATACCATGAAACAAGTAAATGAAAGCAAAATTTTGTGAGACCGCCTTTGTTGTTTACATGGAATATGAATGGCTGCAGAAAAATACAACAATAATTGACTGTTATGGTTGCGGAATCACTTGTTTGCTTTAGGTGCTTTGAGGAGCTTTTGTGGTGGACTCGTGTATGCACGTACTATAAGTCCATTTTATATTATTCCTTTGTTCATTGTTAATTGACAGAGCCTTCCTTATGTAGCATATTTTATGATTCGATCTCTTAATTTAGTTTTTGGATAGAAGTTGGGTTTTATTATATGGACATATGTTTTGATGGTTACCATCATTTATCTATATATATATATATATAAACAAATTGTTGTTGGCTAGGTGGTGTTTGTTTATTTTGTATAGTTGGGTTGCTTTGCTTTGATGGGTGGGGGTCCTTTGTTTTTTGGACTGCTTAGCCTTTTTGGGGCTTTATACTGTCAAATCTCCTCTTATTTATACAATTGCCTTTATCTTGCTCCAATAAATAAATAAAATAATAATAAATGATAATTAAAAGTTCCAAATGGACTTGCTTTATGAAACCTAAAATGAAGTCACTTGCTACATTCTGGATGTTTTGTAAACCATGACCAATAGATGTAGTCAACATTTTGATTTGCCAGGTTTTACCCAAAACACTGACTATAGAACAATTCCTTTCTAAAAGTCTAGGAAGTCACCCCAATCTCAGTTGACAGTTGCATGACATGACCCTATAAATATTCAACTATTCTGGCATACCAAAGGAGGAACTAACTCTCCCACAAATTCACTACCCAAAGCATTCCTCTATGCTTAAGCAGCAACTTTGCTTTCTTTCTTCGTACTTCTCATAGAATAACAATTCTCACCCCAAAAACATGAAAACGACACTGATGCAAGCATCAATAGGCCATACATACAACATACTGCAAGGCCAACAAAATATAAAACTTCTACCTAACATCAGAGAACCCAATAGAGATCACAGAAACTTATTGAGCATCTCCAAAACTGACTCATCCAATCCACTATTATTTGATAAATTCAACAACAGGGTCATAGTACTTGCATTAGTAGAGAATCCCTTCTCAACCATTTCTTGAATAAGTTGCATTGCCCTTAGCATCTCATTGTTTCGAAGAAATCCCTGGACAATTATATTGTAAGTTAAAGCATCCGGTGAGCAACCACTCTCTTCCATTTTCTTGAGCAACATGTTTGCTTCGCTTAACAAACCTTTCTTGCAGAACCCATTGATCATAATGTTGTATGTGCGAACAACAGGTCGCAACCTTTTGGAAGAAAGACTACAAAAGAGTTCCCTTGCAGCTTTAATGTTTCCAGCTTTGCACATACCATCAATGAGGATGCTATAAACCACAATATTAAGATGCAATCCACTCTCTTCCATGTCTCGAAACAAGGCCATTGCCTCTGCCAGACATTGGTTCTTACACAGTCCATCTAACAAAGTAGAGTAGGTCACAAGATCAGGATGTTGGCCACGGGCTCGCATCTCATTCAGAAATTGTTGCGCAGCTAGAGGTTTTCTCGCATGGCAGAAACCACCAATAAGAGTGGTGTAAGTAACAGTATCAGGAACCAATCCTATCTGAGAAATTTTGTGAAAAAGTCTTAGAGCATCATCCATTCTTTGCTTTTTACAATATCCATTAATCAGGATGTTATAGCTCTGAACATCAGGTGCACAACCCCTACCAATCATCAAATCAAGTATCTTCTTTGCCTCATCAAATTTGCTTTGCAAACAATATCCGTCCATCAGTGCATTGTAAGTGACTCTATCAGGCTGCTCGCCTTTTTGAATCATCACTTCAACTATTTCTACTGCTTCTGCAACCATACCTTCCTTGCAAAGTGCATCCACCAATATATTGAAGGTTCTTACATTCGGTTTGATATTTCGGTTCACCATTTCATTCAACAATCTTGTAGCCTCTTTCCACTGGTTTGAATTGCATAGGCCATGTATTAAGGAGGTGTAAGTGACTACATTCGGCGAAATGCCTTTACGGATCATTTCTGAAAAGAAGTCAAAAGCCTCATCTACCAGTCCGTCCTTACAAAGACTGTCAATGATGATGCTATGGTCAAAAACATCAGCTACCCAATTTCTCTCTTCCATCTTCTTAACCAACTCAATAGCCGCAGTGGTGTTCCCCGTTTTGCACAACCCATTTATAATCGTTCCACAAGTAACTGTATCAGGTCGAAATCCTTTTGCCCCCATGTCAATAAACAACTCTACTGCCTGACCTATTTTATCCACGCTGCAGAGTCCCCTCATCAAAGTGTTGAGCTGTGTACAATTCACTTCATAACCAAGCTTCAAAGTTCTCCCCAGAACAGAGAAACCCAAATCGACCCGATTCAAATGGCAGTAGCAATTCATCAAGATGCCCAGAGTATAAGCGTCTGGCTCTACCATTCCAGAGGATTCCATTTGGTTAAGCAAAGAAATTGCAGTGGTGTAATGTTTCATTCTCACAATGGCCCCTAACAATTTAGTAAAATGCACAATTGAAGGAAGAGGTCGCATTTGGGACATTTTATCAAACAGTGCCAGTGCATCATTAAGGTTGGTGAACTCAAACCTGCATTGATTTCTGACAGACTGGGTTTGAGTACTCGGACAGTGAGGCTTTTGATCTTTAGCAGTTAGGGAATGAAACGAAGCCCTTAAATTGTCACTTGCAAATGGATAATCAATGAAGAAATTAACACAATGCTTAAGAGAAGTTGCAGACTTACGGATACCTTTCTGAAGAGAGAGAGCGCTACCATATCTACCCTTGGAAGAGGCAATAACACTTCTTTTAATCATCTTTCAGCTCCTCTCTCTCTCTCTCTATACATACACACACAGTCACACACTTATATGTCCCTGTATATATATACAAAGTAAAACAAAGTCACCTGAAACTGGTTGGCTATTTTATACTTCGGACATCTTTCAGCATCTAGGATTTCATTTCCAATTATTAATAGTAGTAGCTTTAGCTCACAAGTGAGGGTGGGGACCACTCTTCCAGTGGTGTTCACTCTGATTGTGGTTGGTTGCAGTGGAATAACATGAAATACTTGGGTCTTTAACTAAAAAAAAACATGAAATACTTGGGTTACACCAACATTTGGTTGTACTTGTATTTTTTTTTTTTTTTTTTTGGTAGTAGAAATTTTATTTTTACATTATCAAGAAACATGAAACACCCACTGCTCTGAAAACAGAGATTTACTACTAGACTACAGTTCTTAGTGAATTGAAACACATCAAAACGCACTACTGGACTATAATTTATTTTTATGTGTTTATATGAATAAAAACACATAAAAGCCATTTTATTTTAAAACTTATGCTTTTAACGCTTTTAGTAACTAAAAACACACTTTTAAAAATGTTAGAGATTTTATTATCAAACTAAAATTTCTAACTTTTGAAACTTGTTTTATATTTTTGGGAATTGTTTTTTTTACAAAATTTTATTCTTTTGATTTTTAATAGAGAGAAGGATGTACTTAGTTCTATAACCAGTGTTTTGGTTATATGCTAGGGTTGTAGGTAAAACCTGGCAAATCAAAATGTTGAGTAGTTCTATTGGTCATGTTTTACAAAACATCCAGAATGTAGCAAGTGACTTCTTTTTAGGTTTCACAAAGCATGTCCATTTGGCACTTCTTTGTATAAACAGTAATGTAAGGCTACCATAAAAACTTTGTGACTATATTTATATACAAATCTTTGGTAGTCGAATTTTTATAGCAATTCACCAAGACTATAGTCTAGTGATACTTCGTTCTGTTTCGAAGAGATAATTGTGTGAATGTATTTTTTACAAATATAAATATAAAATTTATGCTTCAATTTAATTGAGTGAATGCACTGATTAAATTAAAGCAAAACCTTCTAAAATGTAGGAACTTCAGAGATTTAAAGTAGTCTCGGAATTAATAAATCTTGGGCTTGACTTTGAATAAGAGTTACCCTTTCTAGATTCTAGATTAAACCATAGGTATGCCACTTTGAGTTGTATCTTCAGTCCTTCACAAGAATTAAAAAAAAAAAACATTGATATGAAACCATGGACGAACCTACATGGCCCAATGAACTCCATGGAAACGTCCACCTCCACTAAAATAGGTCTAAGAAGTAGTTTATTTTTTAATTATTTTTAACAAGAAACTCACACACCAATTTTGTTTCGCAGAAAATTGAACTCTCAAACCTAAATTCTTTTTTTTTTTTTTTTTTTTTTAAAAAAAAAGGGTAAACTATACTAACATCTTGTGAAGTTTATCCAATTATAGGAGACGTTTGAAATACCTAAAAAGTCTACACTCAACAATGCCGTTAAAATTTGGTACGAAGTGTCAATTTTACCCTTAATTTTATACTAATGCATATTTAAGGGAAAAAAAATCTCAAAACTAAATGACAAAAACACCCAATTCCATTATTATTACTATAGAGTATTTACTTTTCTTCTTTTATTGAAAAAAAAACACCCCTTTGTTGATGAGGAGAGAGTGAAGACGACTACAATTTTTCACAGAATTCTATATGTATCTATGAGATCGAATATGGAATTCTGTTAACTCATGTATTCATTTCCTTCCTTTTCCTGCTAGGATTGAACATATATGTCCTTGAGTTTCCGAAGTAGTGTCAAAAGAAGTGCTTCAAATCATTGCTATTTGAACCAGACATGCTCTAAAAAGGTCAAAGTGTTTTGAATTGTTTGTTAACACGGACAAAGTCCGGAAAAACCTCTTAAATTATTTCAATATTAGACCTTGGACACATAATAATTCCGAATCGAATCTCTATAGAAAGAGAAGAGCTTTTGTCTCATGGTAACCTACTATAGTCCCCTTACGAAACTTTTGTTATCGAGTTAGCCATACGCTAGCTTTACATGTTTCTAGCGATTCACATAGCATCATTAAAATGATACAAGTCTTGGATAAGAATCTGCAACATACTAAAACGCCATTGTTGATGATCTTTACGGTATGATTTTTTAGTTTTTTTTGTATTAAGTGAATCTTTTTGCTGTTCTTCAGCTTTATTTGAATACTTTTTAGTATCACTTTGAAGTGAGTCTATTGATATTTGATGATTCTCCAATGCAGACTATAAATTAAAGATTAGGCATTAGTTGTTTGAAGTGCCTGTTCTCAAATTTGGCCATGTATTAGAGCAAGTGCTAAAACATACATTAGTATGTAAATTTGGCCATCTTCACCACTCTCTATTTTATCTGTACCTCTCAAGCCCCATCTCAAAAATCGGTTTATTTTGATTCTTTGTCCCTTTACATTCTACCGGGCTAACTCACATTCTTACACTTGACAGTGGCAAAAGCTCAGCTGTCAAGTGTAAGAGCGCGAGTTTGATCCTCGAGATCGAACAGCCATTTCATGCAGTTAATGCTTAAGATTAGGCCAGTATCTAGTTTACCCTTGTTAGCACCGTTGATTAGCCATTTCATCAATCTTAATATTGAAGGGGAACCATTCACTCAATTGTCATATAAATAATTAGAAGCTGCTTTTCCTTTTTGTCACATTGCAAACACATGGATTCTCCAAGTTAGCATAGTTTCTAACATGTTCACTTCTGTTATAACAAATTGAAAAGAAGTCGGGGGTTCGAGCCTCTATGGAGGCATGGGTGTGTGAGTTTGCTTAACCTTCCAAAAAAAAAAAATTGTAAAGAAGTCTGACAAATAAGCTTGAGAAATCGGTTGAAGAATGATTTTCCTTGTTTATAGTTTTTGAAAAATCTTAAATACTAGGTTTTATACCCAAGACTAGATTATTAAGTATTGACAACCACAATGTTGGCCACAAGCTTTAGATGTTTTGGAGATCATTCACAAAATGTGAAGATGTTTTGGTGATCCACATGTTTTAGTATGTACCACATTTAATTCTAAAAAGATTGCATTAATAAAATTAAAGATTTGTCCCTCCCTATGTTTTAGTATGTACCACATTTGAATATAAAAATATTGCATTAATGAGAATAAAGATTTGCCTATTTTTATGCTTATTGTAAGATTTAAATAAGCTCTTCCTTCCATAGAGACTTTATATTTGTATTTTTCAATTTACAGGTCAAGAGGTTTCATATTGTAACAATTTTGGAATTTTGAATATGTATATTTTCAATAAATTTCTCTCTGCTTATTGTAGCAAAATTAAATTTCAATTTAAATAATATTAGAACCCTGGTTAAAAAAAGTTAATTTTGACTCTATCTTAACACCATCTAATAGAAATGTGCAACATTATCGCAATCTTTGAATCAAAATCAAAAATCCTTTTAATTACTTCCTCCGACCCAAAATAGATGGAGTACAACTTATGAAAGCATTTTTTTTTTTTTCTTCATATACCTCATGCCATGTCTATCAAACCCAACAGAATTATGTTATATATGTCAACCCGAACAAACCATTTTAATCACAATACACTCACTACCAAGGTTTGAACCCCCGACCTTTCCTTTGGGAGGAAGGGGTAATACCGCTGGGCCAATTAGTCCTTTGGTCTGGACCACATAACTTCTTTAATAATAAATCATGTAATTTACGATCCAATACTACTTACTTAGTAAACTATTTAATTCTTTTAAATTAAAATTATTAAATGGGTCATGTAACTTGTTTTAAGTATAAAATGCAAATCATAATAGAATGGATGAATGCATGATTTAATTAATGAAAATGAAGGCTATTAGATACTAAAATTGTTCTTTTAAAAAAAAAAAAAAATACAATACAATATTTATATAGAGTTTATATTGAAATAACAAAAAAGTTCATTCTAATTGGGTCAAACATGTTACTAGCTAATCAAATTAAACTTACATGTTAATTAAACTTGTCGAACTGAGTTAAACATGTTGAGCACACAATAACACAAACACAACCAAAATCAATACAAACTCACTCACTCTAAATGGATGAATTTGGAGAGAGAAGCAAAAACGGACCAAACTTGAGGGCTTCAAGAGCTTCTCTGTGGTCTTGTAATTTGAGGGCTTCAAGAGCTTCTCTGTGGTCTTGAGATTCTTCAACAAATAAAGCATTTGTCGGGAGAAGAGTCGGCTGAAATTGAAATCGAAATCGAAATCGAACATGTTTTAGGATTTTTTAAGTGTGATGCGTAAGCAGAAATGAAAAATGATTTTTTTCTTTTTAATTTAAGAGGATCTGGTCATTTTCTTTAATTCTAAATTTTTTTTATGTATGGAGAGCAATTTGATTTTACAGCCTTTGTATCTCTCTACCGAGCCATCTGCAGATCTAAATGAAGTGAGTATTGACAACCAAAATGTTGGCCACGAGCTTTAGATGCTGAATTTCAAAGTTACAAAACTAAATGAAGTCGTGAGCGAGCAGATCCTTTTTGGGGCAAGTGTTCCTGAGGCTTCCGCAGAGCATTTCATATTTGACAACCAATCACAGTGTGACACATCATTGTATTGAGAGAGTGCTAACAATACTATTAAGACCGGTATTAACTAATAACTACCATCAATCACATTGAGACTAAGGGCCCGTTTGGGAAGTGTAGTGTGATGTAGTGTACTGCTCTAGTCTAGAACAGAACAAGTGTTTTATAGTGTGATGTTCTGAAATGAGAACAAAACATATTTGGTGTTCCAAATTTGCTCTGAGAATTTTGGAACAAAAACATGGTAGAACATGTTTGATAATGTATATTGTTCTAAGAAATATTAGAACAAAACATGTTTGGAAGAATAAAAGTGTAACCAAAATCACTAAAAAAAAATCATGAAATATATATTTTTTTTAAGTGACAAATTCCAAAACAATAAGTTACCAAAAAAAATTGTTGGGTTTGGTTTGTTGAAAAATTACCAATAAAAACCTGTAAATATTACCAATAAATTTCATTGCATGAAATTAGTACGAGTGTTGGTTTTTTTATTAAAAAATTACCAATAAAAATCTGTAAATAAAAAATTTGCTTCTTCAGTACCTTTTTACTAAAAATAGAAAAACAAATTTAATCATATATTATATTATCTAATAATAAGTCACAACTATTTTCTTTCTCCATTTAAATTTAAATTTTTTAAATTTCAGATAGACAAATATAAAAAATGAGGATTCAAGCTATTTTGATATATATATACAATTTTTTTTAAAATTTCAGATAATATATATATATATAGCAGGTGAAAAAATTGCAAGAGATTTGAGAATTTGGATCAAACAAAAATTCAGTTAAAAAAATGCAATGGGGGGTTCGT